GATGCCACTTTCCAGTGAATCCCCACTGTGTGGCCACCTCCTCATCCCTGCTCACCAGAGGCGATCACTGTTCTGACTTCAGTCATTATAGATTAGTTTGGCCTGTTTTTAAACTTCATATACATTGATTCATATAGTACATAATCTTTTGTGTAAGGCTTCTTTCACCCAAACATCAGGAAAATGTTTATGAGATTTATTCATTTATGTGCTATATGTGCCCTTAGTTTATTCCTTTTTATTGCTGAGTAGTATTCCATTGTTTAAATATACCACTATTTGTTTATGCATTCTTCTGTCATCTGATCCAGATTGTGGATATCCTTGATGAAGCTTCTATGAATATTCTTGCACGAGTATTTTGGGGACATATGTTTTCATTTCTTTTGGGTAAATACTCAAAAGGAGAATGCTGGTTTAACTTCTTAAGAGACTACTAATTTTCCAAAGTGGTTGTACCATTTTATGCTGCCACCAACAATATGTGAGTTTTCCATTTGCTCTGTGTCTTGTAGTTATTTAGAGTTGTCAGTCTTCAATTTTGGCCATTTTAATGGGTATGAAATGGCATCATGCATAGTTTTGATTTACATTTTTCTGATGACTAAATGATCTTGAGCACCTTTTCATGGGCTTATTAGCCATTCATACATCTTTTGTGAAGTGTCTGTTCAGTGTTTTACCCATTTGTAAATTGGTGGTCTTTTATTATTGAGTTGTAGAAGCTCTTTCTACTTCAAATACAAGTCCATTGTCAGTGTCATAGGTGTGTTCCTCAGAAAACTGGCTCTGAGAAGGAGATGTGCATGCAGGAACTTTGTGGGAGAGTGCTCTTAGGAATAGCTTGTAAGAGAATGAGCAGGATTAAGTGAAGTTGAAATGTAATTCCGTTAAATAGAGGCCTCAACTCACCCTGCAGCAGGCTCTGAAGCTGGATGGCACTTCAGAATTATCCTGACTTGAGGCAAGGGTGTCAGGCTTTTTACCTCCTTCCACACAGCCCCATTGGGCTAGTTATTGGATATGGGCTGCCCTGGGGGAGGGGTTATAACTTCAGGCTAGTCATTTGTCTTTGGCTCAGAGGGACAGACTCAGTCCTGAGCCGTCATCATTAGGTAGCACTCCCAGGAGCTGGGAAACAGGTGTCTCTGACCTGAAGGGGTGTAGACAGTGTTACCCCAGCATTCACCACATATGCATGTATTTTCACTACAGATAGCTGTATTGTGAACATTTTCTTTCACTATGTATCTTGTCTGTTTTTATTTTTTCTTGTTTGAGACAGGGTCTCCCTCTCCGTTGCCCAACTGGAGTGCAGTGATGTGATCTCAGCTCACTGCAACCTACACCTCCCAAGTTTAAGCAGTTCACCTGCCCCAGTCTCCCAAGTACCTGGGACTACAGGCATGTGCCACCACACCCGGCTAAATTTTGTATTTTTAATAGAGATGGGGTTTCACCATATTGGCCAGGCTGGTCTCGAACTCCTGAACTCAAGTGATCTGCCCACGTCAGCCTCCCAAAGTGTTGGGATTACAGGTGTGAGCCATCGTGCCCGGCCTGATCATTTTTTTAATGGATCAGCAAATGTTTTAAATTTTGATGTTGTATTTTTTTCTTTTATGGTTTATGTTTTTCCCATCCTTGCTAAGAAATCTTTGCCAATCCCAAGATTTCAAAGACATTGCCTACATCTTCTTCTAGGAGCTTTTGAGTTTTAGGTCTTATATTTGGTATATAAAACACAAACAATTAATATTTGTGTATGATGTAAGCTACCACCCAAATGACTCTTGAGAGCAGTCAGCTCTTTCTCTTTTAAGTACATCACCTTCATCCTTTCTCATTTTCCCTTAATTTGCAAAGCAGGGGTATCTCTCATTTCTGTTTCCCAGAGTAGAGTATACTTAATGCTGACAGGACAGTTTTCTTCCTTAACAATCTGTCCATTAATTTGAATTATGGAATTATGAAACCAAATTCCTGAAAGGAAATAGTATACTCAGTTCAATTTTCCCCTAATTTTTGTGCTTCCTTAGAATAATACTTTAGATTTATGAATTTTTTTTAAAAAAAATAAGGGCGATTTTTATGAAGTCAGTCGTTTGAGAGAATGATAAACAGACTCATTAGTTACTATGTTACCTTCTACACAAAATAGAGCTGGTTTTTCATTCTACCTGCTCCGACAGTTTCTTTCAAATGAATGTTGTGATTAGCAGTGTTTGGGGAGTTTAGTATATTGGAAAAGACAAAGAAGCTTAGAATAGGTCAGTGTTAAATAGCGAAATAGGTGAGTCCTGACGCCTGTAAAAAATATAATAAAGTATAAAATAGTAACACCAGTTGTTTGGCGTCATTTTTCCAAAATACTTCAATTACTTTCTTCTCTTGCCTCTTGTATCTTTATAAGACATGTAGAAATATTTTATAGAGGAAAAGTTGAGGTACTGAGTCATTAACTGGAATACTCTCAGTTTATAAGTACCTAATAGCCATTTTGAAGTATAAGGGTTGACCTGGCTGTGTACTGGGGATCAGGGGATTCTCCTCTTGCTATATAGCAAGTATTAGTTGGTGTTGACACTGCAGCTTTATTTCCCCCTTTTTCAGTAGACACATAGATCCCTTTCCTCCCCTCCAAACAAGGAGGGGGTAATGTTTCAACCAGCCTTTTAGCTAAGAAACCATTTTCCCATAGAGATAATATTTATAAAAGCTAGTTAGACCCCAGTCTCTCAGTCAGAAGTTCAGTAGTGTATCTGAGATATTGTAGCTGCTATTTTTGTTAACCAGGAAACAAACAGATGAAGTACGTGATATACCATTAAATTATTGAAACTTTTTCATAAACAACATACATAATTATTCCCTTGTGGTTTTGTTTTCAAAAATGGGGTCTCTTTATGTTGATCAGGCTCAAGTATAATTCAGCAAGATCATAGCTCCCTACAGCCTCAGCCTCCCAGTGTCTGGGACAACAGGTGTGTACTGCCATGCTCAGCTTCTCGTAGTTTTTATTATTTTTTGTTTTTTAAAAAACAGTTCTTGTTATGTTGCCCAGGCTGGAGTGCAGTCAGTGGCTATTCACAGATGTGATTGTAGCACACTACAGCCTTGAACTCCTGGGTTTAAGTGATCTTCTGCTTCTACCATCTGAGCAGCTGGAACAGGTGCATACCACTGTGCCTGGCTCCCCTTGTAGTTTTGTTTTTTGTTTTGTTTTTTTAAGACAGAGTTGCTCTGTCGCACAGGCTGCAGTGCAGCAGCACGACCTCGGCTTACTGCAACATCTGCCACCTGGTTTCAAGTGATTCTCCTTTCTCAGCCTCCCAAGCAGCTGGGATTACAGGTGTGCGTCACCACGCCCAGCTAATTTTTGTAGTTTTAGCAGAGATGGGGTTTTTCCATGTTGGCCAGTCTGGTCTCGAGCTCCTGACCTCAAGTGATCCACCCGCCTAATTATAGTTCTTAAGATCATTTTTCATACTTCCAAGATCCCAGGAAGTCATATTATGGTATTCTGCTGTTTCAAGAAGCTTTGAAATCTAATCTTTTGTATGACAGGAGGGAGTCTCTCAAACTCGGGTAAAAAGAAAACAATTAAAATTAAGTTGGATTAAAACCATAGAATAATTTTAGCATTAATGTCTAAATACATTTTTTTCATCATATGAGTAATACATGTTTATTGTAGATAAATTATAAATGTTTTATGTTATATGTTTATTGCAATTATTTATACATTTTAAGTAAAAATGTGTTAATGTTTAATGTAATGTGTTCTACTTATGTATAAATATTTTTTATAAATATGAGGTTATCATTACATGTTGGTTGCCTTTCCTGACTTCCTATATCCATGAACAGACTTATATCGTAATTTTTAATAGCTGAGTGATGTGGTACTCTGATGAAGTTTATAGTTTATTTAGCCAGTCTCCTTTATTGGACATTTATTTTTAGGTTTGCATTCGTAAAAAGTACAATGGTCATCTTTGCACAATTCTTTCTTAGGGTGAATTCCTAGAAGTAAAATTTCTGTATTAAAGAGTTTGCATTTTTGAGGCTTTAAATCGAAATGCCAAATTGTGGTCCAGATAGGTTGTAGCAATTCACATTCTAGTGTTAAAGTGTACGTGTTCTCCCTATCATGGATAGCAGATGTTTTCTTAACTGTTAACTTGGTCATTTAAAAAATTTCATCTCAGCCAGGCGTGGTGGCCCATGCCTGATCCCAGCACTTTGGGAGGCTGAGGCAGGTGGGTCATGAAGTCAGGAGGTCAGGACCAGCCTGGCCAACATGGTGAAACCCTCTCTGTACCCAAAATACAAAAATTAGCCAGGTGTGCTGGCAGGCGCCTGTAATCCCAGCTACTTGGGAGGCTGAGACAGAGAATTGCTTGAACCCAGGAAGCAGAGGTTGCAGTGAGCCAAGATCATGCCACTGCACTCCAGCCTGGGCAACAGAGCAAGACTCTGTCTCAAAAAAAAAAAAAATCATTTAGCTGGGTGTGGTGGCTCACGCTTGTAATCCTAGCACTTTGGGAGACCAAGGCAGGCCAATCACCTGAGATCAAGAGTTTGAGACCAGCCTGGCCAACATGGTGAAACCCCGTCTCTACTCAAAATACAAAAATTAGCCAGATGTGGTGGTATGTGCCTGTAATTCCAGCTACACAGGGGCTGAGGCAGGAAAATCACTGGAACCCTGGAGGTGAAGGTTGCAGTGAGCCAAGACACCTCACTGCACTCCAGCCTGGGCGACAGAGCAAGACTGTCTCAAAAAAAAACAGAAAAACAAAAAAAACCAAAAAAACCAAAAACCTCTTTGTTTTAATTGGCATTATTCATGAAATTGATCATTTTTCATCTTTACTGTCTACCGTAGATGTTGGTCTCACGAATGAGCAGCTCACAGTCTTGATTACAGGTACTTCAGAAACTTTTTCCCATTCATTAATCAAAGTTTACAATGATTTCTTTTGTTTTCTGCCCAGGAGCGACTGAAGCTGGTGACTGTTTTGGGTGCTGGACTTCTCTGTGGAACTGCTCTGGCGGTCATCGTGCCTGAAGGAGTACATGCCCTTTATGAAGACATTCTTGAGGGTGAGAAAGAGAAGAGCCTTATTTGAGATATGTTATTGACTTGGAGGGGCAGGATGAAGCTTAGTCGTATATTTTCTGAGCACAGTTCATGTTTACCGTAAATTCTACCCTGAGAAGAATTGTTGAGAGATATCTTGCTGTCTTTGATATTGAACACGTCCTTAGCAGTTTGTGAATTGAATGGCCCAATTCATGAATACCACTTAATGTTTATTTGCCATAGTGCATGAATATGAGTCATTTTAAGTTATGACAGTTCTTTTTTAATGCTTACTCAAACACTTCCCAAATCCCACATGATAGTGGTTGCATTTTTTTTATTTAAAAAACATATAGATATAAATATTTAAGGACGCTTTACAGTAAACTTTATAGATAATTGGTGAGGACCCATGCAGTAAAAGATACCTGTAACTGAAAAATTAAAGAAGCCTTTCCTGACCTTAATAGCAACAAGCAGAGGGAACAGTATAGTTATGTGTGAGTAAATGCTTGGTGGTCAGCTTGGTTCACTCACCAGCAAAGTAATTTGGTCCTTCACACAGCCGAGAAGCATACTTGATTCACATTTGCGACTCAGCAAAATCAGATTACATTCATGACTACATTGTCATGGAACTTCACAGTTACCTGTGAAAGATTGACACCACAGCTGTTAAATCTGTGAGCTGAATCCTCAAGTACCAAGAGTTTACCAGATGTTAAGAATAATATAAAGAAGTAGGCACTTCCAAATTTCTTACAAGATACAATATAATATATACTTTTTCAGATCTTGGTAGAGGAAAATAACTGTGTCCTTTATCCAGAATGATGATGCTCTTAGGCCTGGGGTTTGATGGGTGAAATGTTGTGGCAGATATAAATAAGGATTGCAAGATAGGACAGGGGCTGAGGAGTGGTCAGCTGTATTGGGGAGCCTTAAAGCAGTGGTCTCTACTTTTTTATGGTCATACATCCTACGGGGTGGGGGAATGGTTTACATGCACTATTGCACTGATTTAATGTGTACATTATAAAATACACTCCAAAAATAGGAATATTTTTGAGACCTGAGATTTAAATATACATAGAAGATCTGTATTTTCTTTCATATCCTAGTGAGCCATCTTGAATTTTTCTGAGATGTGATTCCACTATAGAAATCACTATCCTAATATTTGGCTTTTTATGGGTGGCAGTTGTTTTCTAAACTTGTGTGATAATGATTTCCTTATCATTTCTTCGAGGAAGAGGTGCATTTTAAAAGTGTAATTTACTGACCACCAGCCTAGATTCCTTAATCAATCTCCAGGGAAGGATCCTGGGATATCTATTTTTAACAAATTGTCTACGATTTTTATGGAACAAGTTTTGGAAACACTAGAGTAAAGAAGTGCTTCAAGTATAGTTTCTTTGTGTTATTTTTCATATCAATTTGAGATATAATTCATATACCATGTTTCAGGTATAGTTGGTTTTTTTTTTTTTTTTTTTTTGGTATGGTTTTTTATTTGTTTTGAGACAGAGTCTCACTCTGTTGCCCAGGCTATAGTCCGGTTTTGCAATCACAGCTCACTGAAGCCTCAACTCTCTTGGGTTCAAGCCATCCTCCCACCTCAGCCTCCTGAGTAGCTGGAACTGTAGATGCACACTACTATGCCTGGCTAATTTTTAATTTTTTTTGTAGAGATAGAGTCTCGCTCTGTTGCCTAGGCTGGTCACCAACTCCGGGACTCAAGCAGTCCTCCCAGCTTGGCCTCCCAAAGTGCTGGGATTACAGGTGTGAGCCACCACCCTCAGGCCAGTTATAGTTTAAGACTAAAATCTTTCCTCCGTTCCCAACCCCTGGCAAACCACTGATCTCTACTCTGTCTGTATAGTTTTGCCTTTTCAGAATGTTGTATAAATGGAATCATGTAATCTTTGGGTCTGGCTTCTTATTTAGCATAATGCATTCGAATCTCAGTATATGCAGGGAAAATGTGTATTGTGGAAAAACTATGCATAGATTTCAAAAACCTTAAAATAAGCTTGCACTGACTTGTTATAACATCTAGTTAGAGGCACTAAAAAGGTTAAGACAAGGAAGAGAGCCTGTATTGGAGTAACATGAATTCTGCTAAGATTGAAACAAGAACAAACATCAAATTTGTGGGGAAGGTTGGGTGCAAGAATGGAAAAATAATTGATGGTTTACAAAAAGTTTATGGGGACAGTGTTCCAAAGAATTCAGCAGTTTACAAATGGATAACTTGTTTTAAGAAGGGACAAGATGATGTTGAAAATGACCAGCCACATCTATTTTCACAGATTAATTTTGTTCATACCGTAAATAAAGAAGACAAAATTAACAGCATAAAAAATAATCAACCCCATAGCCCTCTACATTGGTTCAGCTTACACAATTCGACTGAAAATTTTAAGTTGAACAAACTTTCCACTCGATAGATGTCAAAACTGTTGTGCCCAGATCAGCTGCAGACAAGAGCAGAGCTCTGAATGGAAATGGGATCCAAGTGGGATCAAGATCCTGGAGCATTTTTTCAAAGAATTGTAGCACAGGATGAATCATGGCTTTACGGATATGATTCTGAAGGCAAAGCACATTCAAAGCAATGGCTACCGAACAGTGGAAGTGTCAGTCAAAGCAAAGTGGGTCAGTCAAGAGCAAAGGTCACTGACAAGTGTTTGGGGATGTGCAAGGCATTTTGCTTGTTGATTTTCTAGAGTGCCAATGAACCATAACATCTGCATATTATGAGCGGGTTTTTAGAAAGTTAGCCAAAGCATTAGCAGAAAAATGCCCAGGAATGCTTCATCAGAGAGTCCTCCACCGTGACAATGTTCCTGTTCATTGCTCTCATCAGACAAGGGCAATTTTGCGAGATTTTCAATGGGAAGATTTTAGGCATCTGCATTAAAGTCCTGATTTGACTCCTTCCAACTTCTTTTTGTTTCCTAATCTTAAAATCTACAAAGGGCACCGATTTTTCTTCAGTTAATAATGTAAAAATGACTGCATTGATTGACATGGTTAAATTTCCGGGACCCTTAGGTTTTTAGAGGTGAACTAAAAAGCTGGTATCATTGTTTACAAAAGTGTCTCTCACTTGATAGAGCTTATGTTGAGAAATAAAGGTTATATTTTTTAATTTTTTTAATCTTTTAATTCAATTTTTCAACAAGATTTTTGAAGTCCCCTCATATTGTTCTGTATATCAATAATTTGTACCTTTTCTTCTGAGTAATATTTCATTGTTTGGATGAACCATATTTGTCTATTCCTTCACCAGTTGGAAGACATTTATGGGTGGTTTCTGATTTCAGTGACTATGAATAAAGTCACTATGAATATACAGGTTTTTGTATGAACGTGAGTTTTTATTTTTCTTGCAAAAATACTTACAAGTGCCAGCCTGGGCAACATGGCAAAACCCTATACCTACAAAAAATTAGCCACACGTGGTACTGCATACCTGTAGTCCCAGCTACTTAGGAGACTGAGGTGGGAGGATTGCTTGAGCCTGGGAGACGGAGGTTGCAGTAAGCTAAGATTGTGCCGCTGCACTCCAGCCTTGGTGACAGAGCCATAACCTGTCTCAAAAAAAAAAACAAAAAACCTACAGGTAGGATTGCTGGGTCACATGACAAATATATGTTTAATTTCATAGGAAACTGACAAACTCTTTCTAAAGTTGCTGTAATATTTTGCATTCTCATCAATAATAGATGAAAGTTCAAGTTCTCCCCTTCCTTGTCAATACTTGGTATTGTCTGTTTTGTTTTAGTTTTTTATTTTAGCCATTCTAATAGCAACGTAGTGATATCTTAGTGTGGTTTTAATTTGCATTTCCCTGTGACTAATGATGCTGAACATCTTGTCATATGCTTAATTGCCATTGTTATAGCTTCTGTGGTGATATCAAGCATTTTGCTCATTTTAAAAATTGAGTTTTCTTATTATTGAGTTTTGAGAGTCCTTTGTGTATTCTAGATACAAGTCCTTTATCAGATACATGTTCTGCAAATATTTTCTCCTAGTTGGTGGTTTATCTTTTCATTCTCTTAACAGTATCTTTTAGAGAACGGTTTTTAATTCTGATGAAGTCCAATTTTTCAGTTATTTCTTTTGAGATTGTGCTTTTGGTATCATATCTAAAAACCCCTTGCTGAGCCCACATTCACAAAGATATTCTCTTTCATTTTCCTTTAGAATTTTTATAATTTTCGATTTGACATTTAGTTCTATGATCTATTTTGATATAATTTTGAATGTAGGTGAAAGTTCATTTTTTTGGCATATGGATTGATGTTCAGTAGTTCCAACATCATTTGTTGAAAAAAAAATCATTTCTCTATTGAATTGTCTTTGCACTTTTGTCAAAAATCAATTAACTGTATTTGCGTTGGTTTATGTCTGGATTCTCTATTCTGTTTTATTGATTTGTTTGTTTACCCTTTGCAGTACTACATTGTCTTGATGACTGTAGCTTCATAGCAAATCTTGAAATCAAGTAGTGTAGTCCTTTATTTATTTATTTATTTATTTTTTTTTTTGAGACAGGGTCTCACTCTTTCACCTAGGCTGGAGTGTGTAGAGGCATGATGATAGCCCACTGTAACCTCAAACTCCTGTGCTCAAACGATCCTCCCACCTCAGCCTCTCCAGCAGCTAGGACAACAGGTGCACGCCACCATGCCTGGCTTATTATTTAAACTTTTTGTAGAGACAGTCTCACTCTGTTGCCCAGGTCTTGAACTCCTAACCCTAAGCGATCCTCCCACCTTGGCTGGGATTATAGGCATGAGCCACCCCACCCAGCCCACTTTGTTCTTATTTTTCAAAATTGTTTTGGCTTCCCATAAAATTGTTTGCCATTACATAAAAATTTTTAGATCAGCTTGTCATATATCTACAGAATAAATCATGCTGGCATTCTAACTGAGATTAAGTTGAATCCATAAATTTGGGAGATAATAGACACCTTAAGAATATTGTATTTTCCAATCCATGAGCC